TGAAGCTCAGGGTGAAGGGCGATGAATGACTCTTTCAGTTCCCTTTCTCCTCCTTTAAAGTTGGTGCCTTGGTCAGACAGGAGCTCAAATGGTTTACCACGCCTGGAGATGAATCGTCGTAAAGCCATCAAGAAGGAATCTGTGTCAATGCTGGTGAGTATGTCAATGTGGACTGCACGGGAAGTCATGCATTTGAAGATGATTCCCCATCTTTTCTCATTCCTGCGTCCCACCTTTATAGTGTAAGGTCCAAAGCAGTCCACACCTGTTGAATAGAAGACAGGTTGATGGATCCTCAATCTGGCAGGTGGGAGGTCCGCCATTCTTGGTGGATGTGGTTGACCCCGCCATCTCTGACACTCTGCACATTGTCGTTGATGGTTTCTGACTGCAGCCCGTCCCCGTATCACCCAGTATTTCCTCCGAAGTTCAGCAAACACCCTATCTGGTCCTGGGTGATGTAGCCGATCATCATAGTCCTTGATTACCAGTTTGGTAGTTGGATGAGACGAGTCGAGGACAATAGGATGTATTGTATCTTCCTCTAGCTGGCTGATCTGACGGAGACGACCGCCAACGCGCATGAGTTTGGTGTCCTCATCAAATTCCGGGGCTAAGCACAGCAAGCGACTATTTTTTGGCAAGGATTTACCTGCTCTGAGGAAGGACAGTTCGTCTGGAAATGAGTCAGTTTGGCTCTGATGGAGTACTGCAATTTCTGCCTCTTTGTAGTCATCTGCTGTTGGGATATCGGTGGCCGCCCCGTTGGCATGCTGGATGTAAGCCTTCAGTAACTCTGGAAGTGTATGGTATTTCTGTGGATCGGGAGTAGGTGGAGTCGAGATTGATAGGCCAATGAAGATTGGCTTTCTCAGTTCACTGTCCTGATCAATGGTCGTAAATGGTGGCATCTCCGGCCAGTGGTCAGTTGTCTGTCTGAGGAATTTTGGCCCCTTATTCCATCTGCTTTCCTGGCCTATGTCACACAGCAGTTTTCCCTTTGTGATGTCATCGGCAGGGTTCTCCTTTGATGGCACGTATCTCCAGTTATCAGACTCCGTGAGTTCTTGGATTTCTGCCACTCTGGTGCCTACGAACACTTTAAAACGACATGAGTGTGACAGCAGCCAGGTAAGGACAGTTGTGGAGTCAGACCACAGAGTAACACTGTGGATGGGCAAAGTTAGCTCTGTCTTCAGAACTTTTGCGAGTTGTGCACCTGTGAGTGCTGCACATAACTCCAACCGTGGAATGGTTTGCTGCTTTTTTGGGGCTACCCGAGATCTACTGGTTACAAAGGCTACTTCCACTCTACCTTCCAGGTTTTCAGT